TGGCCAGAGTGCTCTCATTGAAGCCACTGAAACACGTTTGCGGTAATGGTTTGCCGTAATATAGACGCGGGTATACCATGAAGAATGATAGACACATCTCTTCGTCGGCCACATCTGTCGCCTAATTTAACATTAATTATGAACACATTATAATTGATGTAACAATTGGTATAACATGTGTTATATATGATTAGTTTGCTTACATCGGTCATAAGGGTCCGGGAGGTTGAGGTGGAATCGTATGTGCATTCAGTGGTGATTATATCGTTGGACGTGAGCCTAACCTCTGGACTAAGCTTTCTATAGGCCAAGCCCTCCATCGATCCGTTCGTTTCAATTGATATAATTTTGGACAACTCTTCATTGTTGCGGAAATGTCGGGTACGAAACTTGCGGCCTATTATTTGGCCCGAAAATGTATTCAATGTTTAACTAATATGTAAAGCAAATTATTTACCAAAATGATGAAAATGTGGGTAAATATGTGTTATAGTAATCCCTTCGGATGGCATCGACTAATAATATAAAAATGATTACAATATTAACACAAATGTCCAATATCAATTAGTAGTAAAAATAATTACATTTTTAAAACACTGTGCGGCGCAATGGCCAACATTGATAAAGTTCTGGCGATTCGGGGGCACCAGTACTCCGTAAATGGATAGATGGGCGCCGGTGATCATCTGTTGCAACTCGTTTTTCCTATGCTTGTCGGCCAACGACAGTCTAACCCCGATTTCGACGTCTCTGTTTTCTGGCGATTCGGGGGCACCAGTACTCCGTAAATGGATAGATGGGCGCCGGTGATCATCTGTTGCAACTCGTTTTTCCTATGCTTGTCGGCCAACGACAGTCTAACCCCGATTTCGACGTCTCTGTTGAGAAACTCGTGTTCGGCGACATTGATGTGTACGTTAAGCATCAGGTATTTGCTGTACTGGTCTCCGATCGCAATCGCGTTATTATCTCCCGTCTCGAAGACAACGTCCGGATTGTCGAGATTGAAGAATATGTTGAAACACCGGCGATAATCGGTGGGCAAGTCGTTGCTGTTCGTACAGTCGAGGCCCGGACCCGATGTGTACTTGTCCAGCGCCGACGGGTCCGGATGTTTGCACAGCCATAGCACCAAATGTTGGGCAAATTTGGACGCTTTTTGCGT